TGTTGTATGGCATTAAAGTAAAACACCAGAGCTACATAGTAACGGATAAACCACCTTTCTTCATTCAGTTTAAAGACAGAAGTGAATAGTCATTGCGATGTAATAGCTGTAAAATTTCATGAGAAGTTAAATTATAACAAGATACAATAATGTCACATTTTTCAATCAGATCTGATCATAGTAGATATATCCCAAACACTGTATTAATCAAAGATACTGAAGCATCAGATTGATTTAATTCATTTTTAAATAAAACAAAGACAAAAAGTATGGATAATAGATTTTGATTAATCACACCTGAACAAGTGATGGGATAAAATAATTCGAGCCCTGAATTTCTATACTGTAAGACCAGGTAGGTTATTCTTTGAGAATATCTGCAATTGCACCTCAGTGGAAAAGAATTATTATTATACCATATCTAGAATCCACCTGTGGACATGTTCTACACTATTTATCTGGCAACTAGATAACAACAAGGTGTGTAAATATTATTATACTTTTATATATTAAGGCTGACTAGAGCTAGTTATCTGAGCATGCTTATCAAAACTTATGGAGAGGTATCCTTAGTATTCAAATACAATTAAAGGCACCTATATCTTCAGATATCATTATTACTTGAATTTACAAGTCCAGTAACAATGCCCACATTATTTTAATTCTAGAGAAGTTATGGGATATGCTGTGATACGACTGTTAAATTTAACAAGATAATACAAATTATAAAGACTGATTAATGTTTACTAACATTGTGAAAGGGATTGATTGCTTCTGAAAGTAAGTGTTGCAATATGCTGGAGATAAACTAAAACAAGATTTAATTTCTCTGTGGAGGAATCGAGGAACGTTTGGAAATAAAATAAAGGGAAGGAAGAAAAACCATGAGGGAAAAAAGAACAATGATATGAGTAGCTAAGGAACTACCACAATTTCAGTGACAGATGTAATTTAAATCTGGAAGATGTAAATAGAGGAAGGCTAAAGGTTATTGCCCAGTTTCAAATTCAACAAAGCTATAATAAACAACATTCAACATAAGGTAGAGCTTTTTCTTGCCGTTGCCTACAATTGGAAACAAAACCTATTTAAAATCAAAATTTGAGAACAGCTAACTAACCATTTCCAGAGGACATGTCCTTGTGCCACTGCCTGCATTTCATGGCCCACTTATAGCTTAGACTAGGGGTGTCAAACTGCTGGCCCGCAGGCCGGTTGCATCATACAGAGGCCGCACCCACCCAACCTCCAGCAATGCGAAAAAAGTCACAATATGTCGTGACTCATCACATGGCGCGGCGAGTTTGACACCCGTGGCTTAGACAATCAGAGCACAGCTTTAAATATTTGACCCTGGAAGCAGTGTTTTCCTTCTCATTCTATCTCTAGACACCAAATGCAGAAAATGTAGAGATATGTTGATGTGCATGGGACAGAAAACTTGAAATGATCTGTTCTGGATCAGCAAACTTGGATCTCTTGTTGGTACTGCCCACTTCCATCCAGTCCCTGATCACGTTTCAATGACTATCCTGACCACCTTTTGGTCAGAATCCGCTTCCTTTTTGGTCATTAGTTCCTCTCCTCACATCATGTTCTTAGCTAATTTACAGCTAATGCCCTTTCACAGCTCAAGTTCTTCAAGTCACCTATCCAGCACTGCACAAATCCTGATGAATACAAAGTGATATCCAAGAAACAGACACATATACGGTAATTCATTTAAAAAGTTCAATCAGTTAATGAAAAGAAAAAAAATAACAATTTGCAGATAATTTTGTGCAGAATCAAAATTCAATCAAGGTATTTTTGTATTTATTTATTAAATTTATCTGTTGCCCATATCATCAAAAGTAACCCTGAATTTCTGCCCTTTAGATGTTGTAAACAGCACAGATCCATTTTCATCAAGAGTAACCCTGAATTTCTGCTCTTTAGATGTTGCAAATAGCACAGATCCATTTTCGGGTGTACAGTAATAACAGGCTGCCAGCTCTAAAATGGAGGAAAATACAACAAAGCAGGTCTATTCTATGTGATATTCTTTCAACTATTTAAATAATGTTTACATATCTCCCCCAGTCACCTTTTTTTTCAGGGATAAACATAGCTAACTTCAAACTTTCTTCACTGATTTATTTTCTAGTCTCCTAATTATAGTTTTTATTGCCATTCTCTGAAACTGTTCTAATTTCTCTGGATCGTTCTTAAAATGTAGTGTCCAGAACTGGGCATAATACTCTTGGTGCATAGCCATGATTTGGAAATTATTCCTCTATTGTTATATCTAAAATTATATTTGCTATGTTTGTTCACTTATTCAATTTATAGTCTTAGATCAAATATACTTTGCCTTTTTACAGTCATATTATACTCCTGGCTCATATTCATCTCTATTTCAAGATCTTTTATTAGCACAGAAACCTCCAGTCTATTTCTATGCATTTTAATTTTTGTTTCCTAAGGAAGCTCTGCACTTATATTTGTTAAATTTCATTATGCTACTTCAAGCTAATTTAAAGTTATCTTAAAATTTAAAATTTTACATTTCTTTTCTAAGTCGTTATCTCTCTATCCAATTTTTGTTACATAAAAACCTGATATACATTATTTCCACCTGTTCATCCATGAAATATTAAAGAGTGGAGCATTCTGCATTCAGCAACATCTTACTTGATATCTCTCTTCAATTAGATGAGGAATTATTGATGAGCAGTAACTAATACTATTATTGCAGTTAGCATTTACTGTAGCATGTAAGTACAAAAACAAAATGAATATGTACGCGTGTGCCCTTTTCAGAAAACAAATGGTATTTTCTTCCTACCTTAATGGTACCCAGAATCTTTGACAGAATATTTATTGGAGTGAATGAAAAATTGAATACCATTCGATACCATTGAATACCATCATATAAGAGACCTTATAGTCCTTAGTCTTAGCAAAAGGATGGCCTTAACACTGATCTCTAACATTAAAAACAGAGCATACCTTTTGGTTGAGCAAAGCTGTAGATTTCCCGGAGTCTGGCTCTTTAGTTTTGGAAGGAAAAAAAATTAAACTGAAAGCTCACAAGTCCTCTTTCAGACCATCCCTTCTACATTACATTCTGTGTATGTTTTGGACACTTCTCAGTCCAATGATTTACAATATAATTACGGTAGATAGTTTTATTGGTTTCAAAAAAAAATATTTCTAATTCAATAGAATGCTGGGAAAGAAATGATGTAAAGGGATTCGGGACTCTGTCAATTCGCAGGAAATTTCTTTAAAACTCCTGATACTACTTTGCAGAGTCGCTTTGCAGAATGAGGTGGCTAGCATATAAATTTAATAAATAAAAATAAACTAGGAAATACATAAAATTAAATAAATAATAAAATAAAAAAATAAATAAAAAAACTGAGCAAAATGGGACAAAAATTACTATAGTGTGTGGGGTCTCCTTCCCTGCCTGCTGGTCATCCCAATTCCGTGCTTGCCCATTTACACAGACACACCGACACTCAAAGGTAAAGCAGAATGACATACAAGCACAGTTACTGTTACTCAGAATAAAATAGAGATGGCGCCTATTACCCTGCTGGTAAAGGGATGGAAAGAATTCAAGAAGCCATTTCTTGTGTGTATGTTGTGACTTTTCCTAATCTTTCCCATTGCTTTTTTCTCCAAAAAATCTCTCTCTCTCTCTCTCTCTTGTGCACTCTCTCATTTCAAAGAGGAATTTTTCATTACAGTTTTTCTTATATACCAGACTACATGTTTACAAAGCTGTTCCTTTTATTCTTAAAATACCTACATACTTTTGCTGAATACTGTTCCTCTCAAATAACTAGAAATATTCTACAGCCATAATTGCATATTCTCAGTGCTTTTTTTCTAAAAAAAAAAACAAAAAAAAACCTCACACATGTCATACAACCCGCCTTGCCTACCCTACAAGGTTCCATCCAAAAAAGGTGCCAGAATTCTGTATTGGGTGTTCTATGAGAAAAAAAGCCCTGCATATTCTAATAAATCTATCATAGTTAAAATTACTTTTAACACTTCCTCCAATCCACTCATCAACAAAAGACTAGGATTTGCAATTCTTCCAGATAACCTGGAATATATGTGTAAGAATCATTATTATTTCTATAGGTATGTAGAATTATGACCATTTCTTCTCCAAACTGCACATATCATAATATATAGAAAGTTGCATTTTAAACAGTAATCTCATTTGTGAATAGCTCTTATTCACTAGTATTAAACCCATAATCCTTGATAACATTATTTTTGAAAGATATTCTTAAAGCTCCAATCACTCTTTGTATATAAAATATTCCTGATAATCCCAAAGCACTTGCAGAGCTTTGAATTCAACACACTATAAGACCAACTAATACAGAAAATCGCAACATTACAAAATTATTAATCTGAATTCTTTAGAGTCAATGGCAAAAAAAATTAACTTCAATAAATCAGGACTGCAACGCCTCCCAAATTCTATAAAATTCCAAATACATCATTTTTAGCCACGCTTAATGTTTTATGATATTAAAAAAAACACTTAGAAATAAATATTTTCAGACATTACATTTTCTGAATAATATGCTCCAATTGTATAAGGTACAAATAGTTTAGTAAGCAATTCATGTCAAACAGTATAACAAAATATATTAAAAAATGAATCAAATGCATGACAAACTATACTATAAAATAGATGGCTAGATTTGTTTTAGAAAAAAAATATTTTCTATAACTATTTGTATCACTGAATACTGGGAATACTGTGCAATAGAAAAATCTCTCCTTTTTAATTCTTTTGTTTTTGCCTGATTTTTTAATATAAACAAAATATCACAATTATTTAGAATATTTAGATTACAATAAGTTAAATGAATCACAATTTTTATAATCTGTTCACAGCACACAATTGGACAGAAAAAAAATTACAAGCTAACTTTTTTTGTTGCTACTTAGCCAAATATTTGTACAAGATTGCAAATCAGACATACCTGTTGCCTATTACTGGGCATATATGGAAGCATAGTTGAAACATGAAACATTATTTCATAATCTTTATATGTTGTATAAAGAGAATGGGTTCCGGTTGAATCAGCTGAAAAGAAATTCCAAAAATGAATAAATATAGATATTAAAGTGCACTTTAGTGCATGTTCTTCAAGTAAATGTTATTTCCCATGCTAAACTTGTTTCATTCCATATAATGCAGGGGTCTCCAACTTTGGCAACTTTACGACTTGTAGACTTCAACTTCCAGAATTCCTCAGCTAGTCACGCTGTCTGAGGAATTCTGGAAATAGAAGTCCACAAGTTGTAAAGTTGCCAAAGTTGGAGACCCTTGATATAACCTAATTGGTATATAGCAGTGGTGGCAAACCTATGGCACCGGTGCCAGAGGCAGCACTTGGAGCCTCTCTGTGGGCACATGTACCGTTGCCCCAGCCTTGCCTCCCCGTGACCCCCTCCTCACCAGCAGCCCCCCTGGAAGAGAGTCACCCCTGAGCGTGGCCCACGCGGAGCAGCACAGCCAAGGACATGGCAGCCAGGCAGCATAGACAAGACTCTGCCCTCACACCCCATCATGCACAGTTGATGTTGCAGGGCACGGGTAGAGGGCGTGGCCGCCATGATACTGCTGGGCTGCCTGGGCAATCTGAGGTGGGCCCTGAGGTGGTAAGTGGCCTTGTGGGCAGATGGGGTGGGGGTGGAGCAGGGGTGGGGGTGGGGCAGGGGGTGGAGTGGGGGCAGGACCAGTTTTGGGGCACTCGGACTTCCCACCACAGTGCCCCTATTTATCTACTCGCATTTGCATGCTTTAAAACTGCTAGATGGGCAAGAACTGAGGCAAGGAACGGGAGTTCACCCCATTGCGTGGTGCTTGGGTCTCAAACCCAGGCTGTCAGATTTCCAGCTGACAAGCTCAGTGTATTTAACCTCTGAGCCACTGCACCCCCTCTGGTAAAAATAACCTGCTCTTAATTAAATACAAACCCTTTGAAACAAGGTCCACAGACACCAGCCCCTCACAAAATCTATCAGTTATATAGTAGGAGCAATATTCCTACTTCCCCCTTTTTTGCTTTATGATTTAAGGTTGCTCCTCACAAAACAATTGGCACCTATAATGACAGACCACAAAGTGAGATGGAAGCATTTAAGTCCAAAGGGATGGTTGCAGGGTATTATGAACAGCCTCTTCTACAGAAGAAAAAACACGGAATTTACAGGTACTACTTTAGCAAAAATATTGCAATCTTTCATTACCATCTTTATATTTTATTGCATTTTGTCATTGCCACTTACTTTTGTTATCTAATTGTGCTCGGTATTTACTGAAACCTTTGAGTCGTACTCTTTGACCTAGAAGGTCAAGGAATTCTTCAAAAACAGGACCTGCTGTCTCATTGTTATACATCTCTTCCTCAGTGCTCTGGCCTGCTTTGCAATATAAGATTCCAATCTTGTGCTGAAAACTTAGCTGAAATTAGGAAAAAAAAGTCAGCATCCAAAAAAGTCTTCCACCCAATCCACTTTTTCATCATATTAAAAAAAAATGTATATGGTTTGTGTGTGTAAAACATTTTTAAATATTAAAAGGGTAAATATGATGTTTTATGTACTAAACTATGAAGTACTGGATAATCGCAGCATTTTATACTTTTTGGATGACCGCAGCAAGCCCAATGTTGCAAATTAACTTTGAAAGACTTTTCCATTTACAATACAAGTTGTCCATCAGAACTTAATATCATATTATCCAGAATTTTCATTATGAACATGCATAGAAAAGATTAGTTATTTGAGCTTTCCAGTTTTGATTGAAACCAAATGAAAGATTCTTCTCTCTAGTCCCAGCATAATGATCTGTGGATTATTTTATAAACAAAGATCCTCATTCCCTAAGAAAAGTATGTGGGGAGGTTTTTTGCCAGGAAATATGTCCATGCCTAGAGAAAAAAATTGCAATGATACACAACTACACAGCTGTAGATGCCTGGGGCAATACTCTTAGTTGGTATGGAAATGAAATGTGGTAATGGAATAGATCTGCCAAGCAAATAACTTACTTTTACCAGAATGCAACTTATGAATCTGATATAAGATCATCTGGTTAAATGAACATGCAATGTGTTTATTGTAGGTAGCTATTTGTAAATAAAGTAATATACGAATAGAATACACTTTATATAAAAGATGCTATCACTGAAAACTTCAAAGAATATAATGACTCTAAAAATGTATGACAAGGGTATTTTTTTTCATTTATTCGCTAGTTAAATTCCTACTATTTGATACATTCCTTGTTGTACTAATAATTATTTTCTATTTTCCTAGCTATTTGAAAAATATTGGGGGGAAAAATTTCCTCTCACTTAAGAATAATTTTCTGTATTATCAAATTCATTGTGCTTAGTTCTGATAGTCATCAGATCTTAAAGCATATATAAACTACTATCAGTAGAAAAAATAATTATTTTCTTGACATCACAATAAGGGGTTGGATTAGATGACCTCCAAGGTCCGTTCCAACTATTATTATTATTATTATTATTATTATTATTATTATTATTATTATTATTATTATTATTATTATTATTATTATTATTATTATTACTTCCTCCTTATTCTTATTAATTTGTCACCATTGTATGATTCCAATGTTCATACATTAGTTCTTTTATGAGCATATTAACTACATTCAATTTTAACTAAACTTAAATGGAGTTAAATCAAATGTAATTTTATTCTGGCCTTAAAATCACAGCAAAATACCTCAGCCTGGAAAAAGATATGTCCTTCTTTATACATGAGCATCTTTACAAAATTGATATCATTTAGATGGCTAAATAAATGTTCTACCAATGAACAAAGATAATTAAAACAGTAGAGTTTCATTTTTTCCATATATATATACTGTATATACATACACATACATACACACACATTATTTATATACAGTTTACTTCAAATAAATAAATATGCCTTTTAATGTTGCAGAAAGTCAGATTTGCTGCATTAAACCAGATAATCTCACCTTTATTCACTCTGAATTTAAAGTATATATTCATTTCATTGCTCATGCAGTGTTAACTTGTTAGATAGTCCCAATTAAGAATTTCAGTTGTTTGAGCCATCAAATTTCCCACATCAGTAGGAAGATTAGTATTGTGAATAAAATGTGCTAATTATAATTAGAAAAGGAAAATTGGAAAAGGTGAAAGACTAGCAAGACAATAATTTTCTCCTTTTATGTAATTTGATGCTCTTAACACAATACTTTTTGAATCTGCTTGCATGACTATTAATGCAAAAATCCTCTTTCTACTCTGTTATTTAATCTAAGAGAAGTCATCGCAATGAAAATCTTTGGTTCCTCAAACAGGTAAGATCAAATTCTCAAATCTCAATTTATGAAAAGGAAATAACACATTGGTATACTAATGTTAAAAAAAACCCAATATCTACCCCTTGTTCATCCAGCTTAAGCAGCTGTTCAGGCACTTTGGGTGAGTTGGAAGCTTGTCTCAGGCACTGAATATTCAGTTCTGGTATTACATATCCCAGTACTTCCTTAAGAGGTAAGCCTCGTGCTGTGCCGTGTCTAGCAGTAGAGGGAATGGCATCTTCTAAAATGGCTCCTCGCAGTGTTGTAAGCTGTAATAACAAAAAAAAAATTCAATATGTTTAATATTAATTCAGTCTTCAGCAACTAACAATGTGGACACACTGATGCTTAATTCATGATGTGAAACCAGTTCAAATCAGTGGCATTTGTAGGGGACCAAAACCAGCAAAATGGCGACCATGGTATTGTGATAGCAACCCCAGTCCTTTGTGCATGTGTGCAAAGTCAGTCCACATTCAAAATTGCGTATCTTAACCTCCACCCATCCCTCTTAACAATAGCAATAGCACTTATATACCACTCCATAGTGCTTTACAGTCCTCTCTAAGCAGTTCACAGAGTCAGCAAATTGCCCCCAACAATCTGGGTCCTCAGAAGGATGGAAGACTGAGACAACCTTAAGCCAGTCAGGATCGAACATCTGGCTGTAGGCAGAGTTTGCCTGCAATACTGCATTCTAATCACTGCGCCACCATGGCTCCTTGGCAGAAAGCCATTGATATTAGGAGTTGTGGTTAAAATCTGGAGGACCAGAAACTTTCCACTCCATTTTAAATAAATTGCATAAATTTTATCAGCAAACTTTCTGCAGAGGCCTGCTTGAAAATTTATCTCTCTGATATGGCCTGAAATTCAAATTTATGTAATTTCCAAAGTGAGACAGGGCAAAAGAGAATCTATTAATAAAGAGATTCCAGAACTTTTGTTTGCATTGCACTACAATTGCTTATAGTTATGGTGTGTGACACTTTTGGATTAACAATCAAGAGATTATTCAAAGAATTAAATTCTTGATCTCCAACCTCCTAGATGAAAATGATTAAAATTTTAATTTCCAAGTCTTCCCTGCAATATTTCTGCCTCAATATCCTTTGTCTTTCATGATATGTACTTGGATTCAACAGTGGTATTGCCAATGAATTTATATGAGACAAGCAGATAGGATCTATTGGATCAATTAGTTTGTCTCACTCTCTCAAACATGTGTGTTATATAAAATATAGAGTGAGTTAATGATTATACAGATTCAAAGGTACATATTTTTGAAATTCTTCAAGTCTTGAAGCATAACAGTATTTTGCTACAAGATCTATACTTTGACTTGTTGCAGGATATGGTGTAGAGAATAAGCAGGATCTTCTATGGAGAGCTTTGTGGAATAAAGGAGGTAGATAAAATTTTATTTTCTTTAAACCCATGTATAAACCACTGCAATCATTAAGAAAATTGTGGTGCTATACTATCACTTAAGAAGTCCAAGAGGAATCTTGATGGTAATTGGGGCCTCATAAGAACATAAGAAATGCTCTGTTAATTCACACTGGCTGGTGATGGACAATAGTCAATTAGATTCATTCAACAAGTTCAGACATGAACAAGAAGATAACAGATCTTCCTAGAAGCTAGTAGTTAAGCTTGCTACTTTCATTCAGATGGTTGTAAACAGATATGAACATTGGTATCCTCCATGGATTTGTCCAGACTGATGTATTATTTTCAAGACAGGGAACTGTATAGTTTAACTATTATTTGTATAATATCCAAAATCAAATTCTTTTATGAGGTCTGGATCTCTCTGCATTTGCTTCAATAGATGACTCTATTGAAAAGAGCAATTTTTTGTCCAAATTTCCCTACCAAGTAGGGCTTTGGGAGAGTTATGTCTAACTTCTAAGAATGATCTGTTAGGGAAGTAGTTATGATAATGGTGGGTGAGTGGGGCTGGCACAAGAAAGCTTCATTCTGATACCTAAAAGAAGAGCAGTTGGAAAGGACAGAATAAATAACTACACTCAGCTTAGAAGTTGACCGGTTCATCTCCAGAATGAAAAATAATTCTCTGTAAGGTCTAATGTTGCCAACCTTGATTTTATTTCATTTCACTTTTCNTGATGTTTTCCTAGAAATATATCTCTGTGTAATAGCAGGCATACTTACTCAGGACCCTACATTATATTTTACAAAGACTCTTCATGAGGCCTATGATAAATCTGAAATTTTCAATAGCCACATTTAAAAAGCAAATCTTACTTTTTAAGAAATGCATACAGTTTAAGAAAAGTGATATTTCAAATACCCTTCCTTTTAACTTTAATAAAACACCCAGTTCCATTTTTAAACTCCATAAATAAATTGATATTAAACAACATTGTATTTAAAAATAGAAATTGGCATCCTTCACTTACTTCCCTCTCTTAATTTTTTCCAAATCAGTTCTTCTTCCAAATGCTCTTCCCAAGTCTGTTTATAGTTCTATAATCCTCTTTACAGTTATATTTAGTTTCTGCATATTTGCTGATTCTATTTTCTCCATCTGTTTGTGTTTGGAAAATGTTAACTATTCCCTACAGCTCTTTCACTTAGTTGCTAAAATTGAGGAAAAAAACTAATTTCTGAATTAAGAACTACTAGGTTCTAGTATGTTTTGGTACTTTAAGAACCATTACATTCCATCTATGAATTTATTCTCAAAATATTTAAACATACTATTGTGGGAAAAGTCCAAATAAGTGCTATTAAAATCAGGGTAATTTTCCAAGTAAGATGTATATACATGCATATATGATTGCATTATAAAGTGTAACTAACACTCCACTAAAGTATGAAAACCTGAAATTAGTAGAAACATCTCATGCACAACAGTACATAAAGTGACTTACTTCTTTATTCAATTGTATTTGAATGGTAAAAGATAATAATAAAAGCTGAGTACAGAAGATCAGTATTAAATGAGCAAATTGCATGACAAGGAATAGAATGAACAAGGCCATTATTATCTTGCATACTAAACTGTGCAATGAAAACTGATGTGATGAAATATGTTGTTAAGAGCACTCCCACATGGAGATGCACATATGTACATTTGTCTCTGCATTCTAAAATATTCAAATAATGTGTATCAGATACGTTTATTTGAAAGATAATTAATTAGAGTTCATTTGCTTTCACTGAGTTGTTTATGACAGCAGTTCTCCATATCCTGCCTTCTATAGGTATCTCCAAAGTGTGGACAGATAGGAGTCCATTATCTACATTATCTACATTTATGTTCAGAAGCCTAACCTGAGCAGAAAAGATTATTCAGAATGCTAAGGCGTTGCCCTAATCGTTTGAAAGAAAAAACCTGCATCATACTTAAAAGCAGCAAAAAAAATTTAAAAAATCTTACCCATCTGCTCAAAATGCAAAAATACAAAATACACAATACAAAATACAAAACAAGATGTAGCAAACATGGATGGTTCCTTTACACTAAAATACCAAGCAAGCAAGCAAGCAAATATATATATATATATTTGGAGTGGACGGAGCAAGCCCCCACTCCATCTCCCTGCTCCAAAAATCCATTCAATACGTAGTCCTCAAATAGAGGACACACCAGATACCAAACTGATAAGAACAGATACTACACTTGATCTTAGCCAAAAGACCGAGAAACGATAAGCAAGAAAATATTTTATGGTTTTATCTGAAACAGCTGCATTCCTCAGATCTTTTGACAGTTAAACATACAATTTAATTAATAAACCTGGACTGGCATCTTTTCCAAATGAGGGTTTCACTTTGATTAATCTATGAAATAAGCATGAAAGCATGTTAATAGAATACTATGTTTGTACACAGATTAGTATTTCCAACCATCCTTGGGAACTAATGTGCAGAAAGACAAGGTAAAGCCAATGTAATGATACTTTCTCCAGCCATCATAGATCATGGCTGTTGGAACAATTCAGAGAACCTATTTAATTCATCCAGTTATTTACATGTGGGAATATAAAGTAAATACGCAATAAAAAGTTCCATAAAAATCTGTTTCTCTTTTACATCTCAATTCTGAAGCACTGTGGAAAGCCTACCTCACTTGTTCTGAACACTATACGATGGTTGAATTGTGAACCGTCTTTTTCTTTTCCTTCTTCAAACTTCTCCCTTCGGATGCTAACTGCTACAGGTCCTAAATGTTCATCTATTCCAAAGTAGTTTTGATGTTCTGTAATGTATAAATAGATAAAATAATAATGAAACATTAGTCTGACAGATCCCTCTTTATATCACAAATGAAAATCACTGGTTGATATTAGATTATCCTTCCTTATGCTCTTCTATTACTAACACCAACTTTATTTTTATGACAAATTTTATACCTAAAAGCATGATTTGAGAACATCTACACAATACTATTTTCAGCTAAATAAACAAATTAATGACTAAGATCATATTTTTGCCTGATATTCTTAATTTAGATATAACAATAATCTATATTATTCTAAAATCAGTTAAACTTGTATTGGGAAATACCCCCTTTTAAAAAAAAAAAGAAAAAAAGAAAAGATATTATCTTCAATTCACAATAGGCAAAATTCAATACATGTAAACATATTTTAAATGTCATTAACTTCAACAGTATAAGAATTAATTATCCACAAGAAGCCAATACTATTAAAATGTGCTTCTTGGATTGTATCTACAATTTAGAAGATAGATTTTTACATGTATTCTTCATTAATACTTGATGCAAGTGTATTATTAAAGGGTATTAAAGCATATCAAATATGCTTCACGATTAACAATTTGCTTATCAACATCATACAAAACAAGGTAATCACTGACAGTAGGATACACAACCTCATCTAGTAGTCTCCCAATGTAAATTCCTAATGTGATTTAGCCAACGGCTAGATGGCTGAGCATGATAGGAGCTGAAGCTCAAAAAACTTGAAAGTCATCATGATGGAGAACCATGGCACTATATGTTTAGGATCAGGAGATTGTTAGTTTTGTTATTGAACCTGTAGCTTCTCACTTCTAAATTTGCTGATGTTGGGAGTGTGTGATGGAATGTAGTCATTTGGATTCCCAGGAGAAAGGAGGTGCATTCCAGAGAAAGAAAAAACGGCTCAATTTAGATAGTTTATGTGAGAGAAAGAGAGTGAAAGATCCCCTCCATAATAGTTTTCAGAATATATGCTTGATAGTAGAGTGCTTCAGTTTGGCAAGATTCTTCTTTAGGTATGGAACAATAAAGAAATTTACTTGGAAGAATCAACATTTTGACCTATTTTTTTATGGTTTTGTGACCCTGATGTCAAACTGTTGATCTTTCAAAGGACTTGAAGATACGTTTTTTCCCACAGGCCAATGTGGACAGGATATTAGAAAAGCCAGCATTATATATGCTAGAAAAATGTTTTAAGGGGAATTCAATTATTTTTTTATTGGTTTTCCTTTGTTTATTTTTTTTGTCATTTTATTCATCACATTACATTAGTTGATTTATATTAATTAAGGCAGGCAACCATAAAAATCTGTTTAATGACTAACATAAACAAATACAGCACCTCTTTTGGAAGCTTTGCAAAGTTAATTGTTATGCAATTTATTCTAGGAATAATTCTTCTCATTATACTGTATAAGGCTAATGAAAATTATGCCAACTTATAAAAATCCATTTAGTGTTATGATTCAACAGGGCTTTGACTTCCAGATTCCAAGATTATATAAAACTGGAGCCCACTGATTCAAAGTTTGATATGAGTGCACTAAAACATAATTGTTCTCTACAGGAATTCTCCCTCTCTCCCTCAGTTACTCATTCAACCCATTAACGTAGATATGCAGGGAAGAAACAAAATCTTTTTTTGTAAACTCTATCATTCTCTCAACTCCAAGCATGTTCTCCCACCTTTTAAAAAAATATCCTCACTGATCCCTTCTCCATTCATAATAATTTGTCTATATTCTTTATTCCAGGAAGAAATTGTGAGAGTTTTCTATCGAAGGGGGGAACTGCTCTGTCAAAGGGGGGGAACTGTTCACACCATGAAATTCCTCTTGGAAGTTAGAATATTCATTTTCTACAAAAATGCCAGGTTTTACCCATATGATACACTGTCACATAATCACAGTGCCTATTTTCTCCACATAAGTAAATGTCTAACTTTCAATACTAAAAAGTATGCATCTGAACACAATTGCAATATTGGGAATCAACATGCCTGTTTATTTAATAATGTTTCAGTTAAAATAATGTTAAGAATCTTTACATATTTGGAAAACAAAACTATTTTCCAAAAATTACTTCTGCAGTCAGAAGAGTTTCTTTCTGAAGATAGACTTAAATTGATTTCATAATGTTTCTAGTCACACATTCAAACATAGGACATAAGACAAAATATTTTACAAAATTAATAAACTTGAAAAGTAGTGCACATGTTTTATGTATCACTGGGTACGTAATATAAATTAAAAACAGATACTAAAAGTATGGCCCCAAACAAGTACAATGTCAAGAAAAAGAAGAAATTGATGTGACTGTTCAAAAAGCTTGCAATGATCTGAGAATAATAATAAAAAAGGACACATACTATTGTGGAAGGAGGGACAGGTTACTAAATAGTCACTTAGGTGAAATGGGTAGTAAAGAAATTGGATGGATGGATGGATGGATGGATGGATGGATGGATGGATGGATGGATGGATGAGAAAATTGAGACTGGAAAGCTAAAGCTCAGAAAGCTGTTAAAGTAAACAATATGGACATATTTAAATATGTTCAAATAAAAAAGAAAAAGATTAATACAACAGCTGCTCAGCGAAATTGTAAAATACTACCAGGTAACAGGGGAAAAAGCAAAACTATTTGGCTTCACCTTCTCCAACAAGAGCCTTGTGTTCTGCTAGTAATTGTGACTAGCAAGTTGCAACTTGAGGATGATCAAAACATGGTAAATTGGCTTTTGCAAAGTGGCACTACTTCATTTCACAGAGTTACCTCAAGCCTAATCATAGAAGCAATTCAATTCAAGGCAGCAAATTGGAAAGCATTCTACTTCAGTGTCACTAATAAAAGTATCAAGACAGGCCACTTTATTTCAACCAGGTATTTTGCTTTGTGGAGAACAGCTGAAATATCAGATGGATGAAGGAGGTAAAAAAACTAAAATATAGTACTCAAAATCTGGAAAATTCTAGACAAAATCATTAAATTATTTGGAAACAATGCAGTAACTGCTAAAAATCACCACAGATGGACCAAGAATAAATAATGATTACCCTTATCTCATTTTTTAAACTGGTAAACTTTGTTAATGGTCTGTGAAAATGCAGTAGACACAATATATGTCTATTTGCATGTTGAAAAGACTGTAGCTATTAGATTAGCAAACTAATTAAAACAGCCCTGCCATTAGATGGTTTCAGAACTGGTTTGAAAACCACGTTCCAGCAATGCTCGTCAACAAAATTAACTAATTTGGCAATAGTATATATGAAAAGGTTTTGGGATTTTTAATTGATCAGAAATTAAATATTATTCAGCAGCATAAAATTGCCAGAAAATAGATAACAATAATTTAGGTAATATTTTTTCTAAATTGGTTAAACTTGACTTCAATTATTTTGCCGAGCTTTTGGCACCAAAATTAAAAGGGAACTAAGCATTATCAGCCCTGAGAAGATTAAGTGGGGATATCACAGAATTTTTTAAATTCCTGAATTTCACAAAGAAAGTCAAGATATATCCATCTTCTTTGAAATAGTATGGCTTATAGTCTAAAGAACATTGCTGATGTCATATTTACTTTTTAAAAATAATTCTAATTATGGTTTTCTGTAATAACCACAAAGAACAAAACTAGACAAAAGTCCAACTCCAACAAAGCAATACGCATTTTCAGTCACTAAATGAGTTTATTTAAAAGGAACATAAAATCCTAGCACTAACACTTCGAAAGTAAAGATGCTAAAGAAAATCACTCACCTTTTCCATAGAAGAACTTCCTGTAATAATAGGCACCGAGGTCAATGTGCTCTATGACATAACGCTTTACTTTCTCTCTGTGGATTGGTTGATTTTCCCGTGGTACTTCTAAGACAGAAACACCGGCATTGGTGCAATGTGAACTTAGGGAAGATTCAAAAGAGCAATTGTCTCCTGAAGAAAAAGATGCTGAATTGGCTCTAGAGAGTGCGATCCTCCTATCACCTTCCCCACCAGTTTCATTCCTGAAATAAGGACAATTCAGTACTAAATCATTACTCTTCCCATCACCTTCATCGGCATCTAAATTTTCCTTTGAATTTAGGTCCTCTTTACTTCCCAAAGGAGATTCACAGCTCCCAATCTGACTTGCTGCCATTGAAGTTTGTGATGCAGCTGATGCCCCGGTGGTTATATTCTTTCTTTTGCCCACATTAATTTTAGTAGCCATTGCTTCATTTATGTTAAACAGAATACTCTGAACATCATAGTGTGCAAAGCACTTTTGACAATTCCAAGGATGAACATTCCTCTCAAATCTACTATCCTCTAATTCAGATACGAATTTTAGTGCTTCGTGTTCACTTTTAGCAGTTCTCAGTTTTTTAAAAAGAGATGTTTCTACTGATTCTGATTTTAATCTCCATTTGAAAGATTTTTCCTGATCTCTACCAATAAGCAAGGTACTATCCATATAGTCCAGTCCAGAAATTCTGACAAATTCTCCTCTTGAAATCTGAGTTGCAGCATGGAGACTTGGAGAAATTGTGGAGTCACAGTGGAAAAATTCAGGAAGTCCGAACGGTGCATGTATTTTATGCTCAACATTCTCTACTGTATAGCCACGAAGCATTGCAAAAAAGTTCTCTCCACACAAGCCTTGTCTGTCAATTGATGAAGTACTTCCGTATTCCCGATGAAGAGCTGCTCCTGTATTTGGGTTCACAGCATTCTGGTCCAGAACATCCTCAGTGTCAATGTCACTGATTGTAACATCACTATTACTTCGTTGCCTTATAGGATGAAGTCCCCTATGTGGAGAATGGATAAAAATGTCTCCTAGAGCATACTTGGCTCCTGCAAATTCCAAATCAAGCTGCTCCTTTTGCTGTCCTTCATCCTGATCCCCATTTACTAATCCTCCACTCTCACTTTGAGGCCTATCTTCCCAGGCAGCATTAGGTAGTTCCTTGACACACTCTTTCTTAGGTGGCCATTCAGATACTCTGGCTCGGACTCCCATTTTAGGCACAGCAGGGGTACCATTGGCTGAGTTAATATTTTCACTTTTGTTGCTGGTATTTAGAGATATAGGAGGACCCATATTATCATTCAAAGCCTTAAATTTTCTGGCAAAGTAATCATCTGATTGCATAATTCTTACAGATTCCCTGTATTTTGAGGAACCTCTGCTAGGCTTGTGCTTTTCTTCTTGTAAAGATTTCTTATCACACATATCCAAAGAACTTTATGTTTTATCTTCAAGACCAGTGGTGTTGCTGTAACATTTCCATTATAAATAAAATAAGAATATATCTCAAATTTGATCCTGTTGCTGTTTCAGACGATAGTCTTACGTAATTCATTTCTCATTCTTCATATATTTTGATCAAGAATGAACCTGGAGTTGATTCACATTTACTCCATGTACCTGTCCATATTAAAAAAAGAAAGAAAATAAATTTACATATATTTTGGGGAAAAAATACATTGAAAATATATATTTACAAATATACTACCACCTAAAATTGTAAATAAATAATTAAATTTAAATAACTGTAAATAATTAAATTAAATTCAGCCTGTTCTGTTATTGCTAGGTGTAAATACAGTAGTAGGCAGTTTCATAAAACTACTGAGGCAATTGTGAATATCCAATTATTTCCTGCTCTCTGTAAAGGCTCCTCTTCTATGGTACAGCTTAGCCATCCAAGCAAGGATATTCTAAAGTTGTAAAGGCATGGCTTCTTTATAGAGAACTTATGGAGATTGTTTCTAGAGCCTTCAATATTAGATTTAATATTTAATAACTATTAAAATGAATATTTAATATTTACACTGTTTGTTATATTCACACTGTTTATAATATACCGTATAATTATTGTACTTTATTATCTTAATTGGAAATTACCTAGAGTTAAAGTTAGACTAAGGAAAATAAAATAATTCTGCCACAGAATCCCCTGGGAATGAATGTTGGCAGTCTGTTCCTACCAATCTTCATTGCAATATTAAATGATTAGCTAGCATTAGCTTTTCTGATCACAAGAACCTCCACATTTTTAAAAGATCTGTTACTGAAACCTGAATACGGATTATAGTTACTTACATGCTTACATTTCTAAAAATATCTCAGACCAGACAATATTACATTTCCAAGTTGAATCAAATTATGTATTAAAGAATGATAGCAGATTTATTTGCATTTTTAAAAAGATTTTATGTTACAAAACTTAAGGGGAGACACGTACAAAGTAGAAATGTGCAAACCAGCCAATCCTGATTCTGATCTTTAATTCCAATGTAAAATCTAATTTAATTTGGATGTCTGGATTGAGGAATCACTTCTGAATCAATTTTGATTAAAATATTTTCTGCACATTTATGAAAACCATATAAATCATCAGAGGGATCTGATCTGAGAACTGGAATAGATTTGTTAACTTTATGCAAAAAGTGATTCCATTAACAGATTTGATTAAATTACCATGTAACAGACTGTCAAAACTAAAGCTTCTTCCAGGCCCTAATATAAAGGTTCTGATATTTGCAAACATACTTAAGAAATGATCTATATTTTCTTTTAAAAGGTATAAAATCCATGGGTCAAAATAATGCTCTACTAATATTTAGTAAAGCGGACAGGGTTTTTACCGATACACCCACAATAAGAAATGTTAAGAGCATATTAAATATACAAAACTAATCTAGAACTCTGATACCTCTTTAAATATGAATGAGCAGTGTCAGACATATGAATTTATTTTGCAGAAATGATAGAATCCAATGAGTGTTTTGATCTGGTTCCGTCATCAGAGTCTGATAGACCATGATTTAATCAGATCATAAACAAGACAATCATTTGAACTCTCCTTCCTCCCATACCACATGCTGTTTTAGTGTCCATGGACTCTGAGGAAGTAGATAGAGAGCTGTCCAAACTGTTCCCTGCCACTTGTGGGCTTGATCCATCCTTTT